TTTTAGTTTAGGTTATTTATAACTTGGAGATATTAGCATGTACTTGCTATCTTGTAATTCAAGTATAAATAAAGTTATTGTATTGTATTGTATTGTTTAGACGGTACGATTTTCGCCTACAACTATCGTATACAACACGACTACTCGAGTTGTAGGATTGCGCGAGCGTGTTGTATACGATAGTTGTAGGCGAAAATCGTACCGTCTAAACCGGCCTTAAGTTATCTACTGAATCAATAACGAAGAATATTCAAACGCGCGCGCATGACTCTGTACTGTGATATAAGCAGGCTGAGAGCTGTAGAAGAGAGAAATATTACGCGCCCGCTGATTACCAAAAAAAAATTCATAAAAGCAATATAAAACGGTTGCTTATGTCTCTGCACTGTGATATTAACATTCTGGGAGCTCTAGAGCACTCGATAAGGAAGAGAAACATACGCGATTAGCTACGCCTCGTGCTTCTCTCTTCCTGTACAGCTCCCAGCGTGTTTATCACAGTACCGGAGGTATGCGCGCGCGTTTTATTTTCCTTAAATAAATAGAGGTTATCAGTCGGCTAACCAACTAGTAAAGCTGTGTATTCTTACGAGTTACGGAGTATTGGTGAGCCTTTAGGCTCTATCTTACCCGATCGCTAGCAGATGAGAAGTGCTAATACGGTCTCATTCCAAGTATGGTCTTTTCCCGTATCGCGCACGTTCTTCTCGCGCATTTAGTCGAGTCTCGTGATCAGAATTTTTACAACATTAAAAGATTACTGCCAGCTAATTTAAATCTAGTCCAAACGGCTGCAAAAATTTTCTTACGCTCGCTTCGAATAGATATCGATCTCAATAACGAATATCGACTAAAAAATCATAAAACGTTTCAAAAATGCTTCAAAAAATCAGTCACTTCAAAAGCAATATAAAAGGCGCCTCGTTGGCTCACTTGCGCGCGCTTTGGTGCAGAAGATAAATTCCTAGTTGGGCTCCCTGTGTCGAGCCAGGTTACCCAGATATGTTCCATGTGCAAGAGCCAGAACTGCTTCAATACACCTAATGTTTTTGCTACATCCTGCGTAAATATTATATAAACTAAAAGAAATATAAGAAAAACTGGTTAAATTCGAAGGTTGGTATCTAGTTTTGTAAAGAATTTTTTACCATGAATGTTTTTATTCTTTAATTTTAGACAAATTTAATTCGCGCGGTTTGACTGATATTTTGAAAAATGTTCATCGAGTTTATTCGTTTAAATTTGTGTTACTGAGTATTTTGTATTATTCAGAGGTATTTTAAAGGCATTCTCCTTCATTTAGAAAATTTGTAAAGTATTTAAAATCTGCATGATCTGAAACCACAGATGTTATATCCAAGCTTCCATTAGCAAGAAGCTTTTCCTAAAATCCTTTCACAGTCAAATTGTCTTGCTTTTGCATTAATTTTGTTACGTTATTTTTCCTAACATATTAAGTATGTGAAGAGAAATCCTTTACATAATAATGCCTCCAAAGAAGAACCCCTTAGGGGATGCACGCAAGAGGTTGCAGGAAAAGATTGACAGCATTAAAGAACAGTCTGATTACATTATACAAGTGTTAAATACTACCGTTAGTAATGTAAGTATCATTAGGATATGTGCAGATCTTATGCATTAAATCCATATTCCAAAGGCTTGCGAACACAAGCTGGAATATATATCTTGAAAGTGGTTAAACCATGTCTGTGTACCAATGCAAGAATGGTGGTGACCTTGCAATGAGAGAGATCTTTCTAACACCTTGGACAATTATTCATGTCTCTATCATTGCAAGGTCACTGCCATTTTTTCTTATATGCACAGGCATGGTTCAGTGATCTTTCGATCTTTCTTAACTGATGTGCACTACAATGCATGCCCACGCATGCATAATCCATTATTACATAGTCATGCTAAAAACATTTCTAAATAGAGGCTTTGCAGCATCACATGATGGCAGCTATGACAGGAGGCACAACAATAGTCTTTTTCCCCTGGGAAACTGAATTCTTTCTCATATAATTCAGATTAGACCAGATTCAATTATTCTTGCCTCTTGTCATGGCTACTGTCATGTGATGCTGCAAAGCCTCTATACAATAGCAAGAGTCTCCTCATCTCAAACCTTCTGGGACGAGAAAAATGGTTTGAAATAACAGGGTGCTCAAGATATCCTGGGTAAAATTGTATGGTGGCATATTAGTCCACAGGACGCTGCCTCAGGCTCAAGATAAATGGAAGTGAGATATTATTTACAATTAATGGAACTACACATTATTGATTCTGAGATCTACTTGTCTTATTGATTTAGGCAGTAGACCCTGCTGTTGAGTTGTTAAACCAAAAGGAGAGAAAAAAGTTCTTTAACAAGTATTCCCAAGTGAGTCAGGGCCTTGAGAAGTGTTTGGATTTCCTCCTGGTATTGAGTGATTCTGTTGATAATCCAAGAGATGGTAGTGATGAATCAGGTATAAAATTAATATTACTAGTTTATTAACGTAATTACTAGCTAGCTAGTAATTACGTTAATAAAGAACAGGGCCTAAAGTAACAGTCAGTCATTGGAGAATGTCCAGCCAGAATTGGAGTCAGTTGTCTGGTCAAATTTTTCCCTTGCCGATCATTTTGACCAGTAACGTTGAGCCAGAAATGAGATATGACTGAAGTAAAGGACTACTTTGGCTGGTGATCATGACTGGCGACTGACTGGCTGTTATTTTAAATACTGAAAGAACCATGCAAAAACAAAAAAAAAAGGTTCAAAATTTAAGTGTTAATTTAAAAGCGGACCTTATAGTATGTTGGCTTTGGCAGTTAGCATATGTTGCGACCAATACTAGCGCCCCAAAATGACCTAAATATGGGTTTGATGACATAGAATAAGACTAAAAAATTGTATTGAGTACCACTCTGTGTTTAGGACGTGATTAGTGTCACAGCAACAGAAATATAGTTCTTGTTTTTTTACCCCCCTGTTTCTTAACTGGTTTTACAACCATCTCTCCCCATAAGGGAATTTTCAGAGAGGTTTACCCTACATGCACTACTACTACATTATATTTACACAAAATAAACCCTTTGGGGAAGGGAGAGAAGGGCAGGGAAATGATGTGTAGGGAGATATAATCATAAACCAGTGTTGGTAATGTGTCGGACAAGTGTTGGTTAAGTGTTGACTGTTCGTTGGCTGACAGTAGCGCGTCCACCGTCAACTGCCAGGTGTTTTCCTATGCCACCATGGGCTCTAGTTTCCCTCACTTAGTAAGAAAAATTCTTGTAGAGATTCTCAGAAGTAGAAACAGATATGAAGTTTTCTGCATTGAATCAGGATATAACTATATATAGTTTTTGGTAGAATTTGCTTGTCTTGAATGAATATTATTATGCATCATATTATTCATTAATTATATATTAACTCTTTACAATTTGTAATAATTTTGATGAACTTTTACAGGTTCCCATGATGATGAAGGTGATTCCAGTGATGAACAAAAAGATGTTAAGACAAAAACGAAGAAAGATAAAGAGGATGTTAGATGTGAAAGAGAAGGTAATGCTGCCAAAGTATTTATTTGCTACTTTATACTTGTATTGATAAGTAGTTGCTTGGATAAGCATAATAATAAAAAAGACAGTGATAGGAAACATATAGTCTTTATTTCATGATGTTTCGGTGCCATCATGACTCCATTATCAAGTGATAGTGAATTACCTGTCTTTTTTATACTTGTAGTCAGTAGAACAAACAAAATTAATTATTCTACAAAACTTCAAATTTTATCGGTAACCCTTGAAACAACCTTTGAGGTGATCCCAGTGCAAGGCTAACTCACAGATCAAACTCTAAACAACCTCTGGGCTGAACAAAGTAAGGGCACAGCTACTTTAACCTACACATCAAACCTCTGGGCTGATCAAAGTTGGGAAATACCTAACTAACATATCGAACCCTGAAATAACCTCTGAGGTGATAAGATTAGATTTAAAGTATTGCTAACTCACAGTTAAAATTTTAATTTAGCATCATACTTCACGTAGGTTTTGTGGATTGGGGGGGGGGGGGGGGGGGGGGGAATGAAACCATAGAACCTGAAGAAAAACCCTTGATTCAATGAAGAGACCCAACAAACTTGCAAAGCCCAATCCAGGACTCACACCTGACCCTCCAGATGTGAGAGGCAAGTGTACTTCTGCTACGACATCTTGATTCCCTGATATAGAGTTAGACTTTGATGCTCATCTGCCTACACCAATACTGTATGTACCTTTGTTGATAGTTAAAGAGTTTGAAAGTGTAAAGACAAGTACAGTCCAAGAAGAGAAGCCAGCAAATGAAGAAAAAAACATGAAAAACCAAAATAATTTGTCTAACAACCTAGGGAGCAATTACACAAAGACTGAATCAGAAAACAAGGTAAACTTATGAAACACAATAAAAGGATGGGGGGAGGCAGGCGGCAGGGGGGAGGCTGCAAGAAGGGGCGACAGCAAGCAGGATAGGGGGCAAGGAGGCGAGGTGGAAGAGAGAGGGATGGACAGGTGAATGGAGATAGGAACAATGGACAAAAGAAAAGTAGACTTAGGAAAATAATAAAAAAATGTAAGGAATGGATGGAGAGAAGGATTGATGGATGGATGGATGGGTGGATGGATGGGTGGACGGATGGGTGGATGGATGGGTGGATGGGTGGATGGATGGATGGATGGACAATGGACAATGGACAAAAACAAAGTACACTTATGAAAATAATAAAAAAATGTAAGGAATGGATGGAGAGAAGAAATGATGGATGGATGGACAATGGACAAAAACAAAGTACACTTATGGAAATAATAAAAGAATGTAGGGAAGGCAAGGGGAGAAGGATTGATAGATGAATAAATGGATGGATGAACAATGAACAATAACAAAGTAGGCTTATGAAAACTATAAAAGAATGTAAGGAAGGGAGGGAGAGAAAGGAAAACAAGGGAAACGATGAAAGGCCGGATGGAGGGAGGAGTGGAGGACAGATGGGCTGTTGGGTATCTATGATAAATAAACTATAATAACTGTTGGGTATCTATGATAAATAAAATGTAACAAAAAGGGAAAATGAATGGAGAAGTGAAAAATGGAGGAATGAATGAATAAATGGGAAATGGAATGAAAGTATGAATCTACTGCCAAATCCATGCACAGCAAGTTTTTGCTTTTTGCCAGATGTTTTTAAGGAAATGAAAAACTATGCCAAATGCTTTCTGTTTATGATGAGACAAGGTGGTGCAAAAGGCTTGATTCCATCAAAGTATAGAACAATAAGGAGACATATTGCGCTAGGATGCTGAATTATTATTTTTTCTTTCCTTCGATCAAGGGTGCGTCATGTGCTTCAAGGTCATCAGACTCGACGCAATCCAGAAAAAATCAAAAGTCTCTTCAAAAAAGCAATCAAAAACCCATTCAAAAACAGATCAAAAGTGGAGAAAATCAACTCCACCAAAACAAATTTTCTGTCTGTGATGATAATTCACAAAATATGGAAGTAGATACAAGAGAAGGAAGTACCAAAACTCCACAAACATCAATAAATAGTTCTTCTATTTCTCCACTTCAAGAATCTGCCATCAAGAGATTTGTCCCTGCACAGGTCAAGATGCCCCAGGCATACCAAGAAGAACAGAGGAAAATTGACGACAAGACAGGTAGGAAATCTACCATGCAGGCAAGTACCCTGCAGCCCAGCTTGGGAGGAAGTCTGCCCGATGTATCGGGGGCTGGAAGGATGTCGCCTGCACAAGGGCAGAAGGACAGACAAACCAGTACCCTGCAGCACTGCTTGGGAGGTAGTCAAACCGATGTATCAGGGGCTGGAAGGAAGCTTCCTGCACAAGGGCAAAAGGTTGTTAAAGCTTCCAGAAGAGATTCTGCAACAAAAGGTATGAATCTAATATAATCTTGTCTAATATTGTCTACTTATACTTTTCGTTTTTTGGCGTGTTGGTCAAATAGTAGCGTATCTTAGTCATTTGCAAGTTGTGGATACACGAAGCGTAGAAACGAGTTATTGTGAGGGGTCTCGATATGCAAATGTGTCACTGACTCACTCACTACTTTCATAACTGATCGATAATTAAACGTATATCAATTGTCTTACGTCATATTCTTACAAACGTTACACGAAACCTATTCTCGTTCTTCTTACAAACACGGAGTTCTTATCCAATAAAGGCTTGAGTAGCTATTTATTGTATGAATGATTTCTGAAATTGAATATCTTCGAGAGAAATCAATGAGAGGGACAAGACATGAGGTAATCTAACACGTATAACGTCCCTGTTGTCAGGGGGATGTGAGAGTCAAAGCACAGGGAACCCAATATCTTAAGAGTGCAAGTAGGATTCATAGGATATCCACGAGTTTGCCATGCGGAAATTTGATTTAAATCAGATGTGGTATTGTAGGAAGGTAGAAAATAGTTAGTAATTATTATTAAAATACACCCAGAAAATGCATGAGAACAATTACTACTTCGATGGAAAACAATTAAAGAGAGAAAGAAAGAAAGAAAGAGAGAGAGAATCGGAGAAACTGCTAACGACGTGACCTGACTGATATTCGTGAAAAGACACTGAAGGCACTGGAGGACTAAAATGCTCGTGAAAGGTCACTGCAATAGACGACTTGTACTAACAGGTCACGTGACCCTACCTCCCTTAAAACGAGCAGTTATGTGAAAACGAACTTTAGAGATGAAACGAGCGAAGTTTCAGCTCATATTATTGACTATAGGATAAATGGCATAAAATATAAAATAGATTAATATATAAGGATTTATTTGGGAAAAAGTGCTGGCAAAGCTTTGCCATCCAGCATATTTTCCCATACAAATCCTTATAATATAATAGCATACAGAATAGGGGTTCACCAACGGGCGGATCAGGGCGGATCGCGGATCAACCCTAAGAATGACGTCAGCCTCATAAAATGACGTCACCCTCTTTATAGTGGCGTCACACCTCTTCGGATAGGTCATATCTATTTTTAGAACAACCCCTATTATGACGTCATAGGTTTTGAGAAGCAATCATAGCCGCTTCTGAGCATTCCCCCCCCCCCCCCCCTCTGGATAGGTCATATCTATTTTTAGAATCACCTCATAGGTCCCGAGAACCAATCAGAAGCCGTTTCGAAAACTCCGGTGCTCTCTCTATCCCGTTTTGGATAGGCTATATCTATTTTTAGCTCACTCTTACACCTTAACTTTGGCTTTGTCTTCAAAAGGGAGAAAAATGGGGTGACACGAATACGAAAATGTATACATTTTTGGGACAAAACATGAGACCGAGGCAAAATGCAGTGGAGCGAGAAATTTAAGTCAAAATCTTGTCAGTTGACGGGTATAGTTAAACAAAGAGATACGACTACATTATAATAGTTCCTTGTATAGTTTATTTATTTTATACGTAGAAAAGTACTACAGTGTGTATATTGACAACTAATTAAATGAGTTACACGAGCGTATGTTTTTTAAATAAATTGTCCTGCTTTTACAGTGTCTTCCAACCTAGATCGCTTAACTTTATACACAGCACCGTCTTCTACTAACAACARTTTTCGTTTCTGTCCTTTATGTTCTACGGATTGGACATCTAGGACTTTAAAAAACTTTCGCTTGTTGTTTGGTGGTAAAAGGGTTACTTTGTCATAGTGTAGGACACCAGCCCAATCACCAGTTTGTACAATTTAACAGAGGGCAAACTTTTTACGAGTAGTGGAGTGTTTCGTTTTGGTTATTATTATTATACTTCCATATGCAAGCTTGCTCTTTTTGCTCCTCTAAGTCTTCTCCAGCCTGGTAAACTGCTCCATCATCTAACTTGACAACAAGTTTTTGCTGCCCATAGTGATCACAATATCCCATAGCCTGTACAGTACACCTCGACCCTAATGGTAGTTCTGCTAAGTTTCTTATGTGCTTGTATGGCACCATGTTCTCTCTCGTAATAATTGGAAGGGTGAGTTGACAGTTTTCTGTCAAAACCGTTTGCATCTTAGACTTCTGTTCTTCTATTTCTTCCAGTAGTTCCTCTCGCTTACTCTTGACGCCGTGTTTTTCCATTTGCTCAGTCACTTTGATATTGCAATAAACTATAATATTTCTCTGTGGTGTTCGACCCCATCCTGTAATAGTCAACACCGCGAGCGGTTGGTTGAATAGTGTTAAGTAATTGCGTTTAGGGTCTCGTATTTTTTCCTTTTCTTCGTCAGAGAGATTTCCTTGCAGGTATGTTTCAATCTGTTTGTTGGAGTAGCAGACGCCCAAACTCCCCGTTTGGTCGGTTTCTACCAACATGATATACTTCTGCCCATACTGGGTCTGTGTCTCACGCATTGCCATGACATTCTAAGAACCTAAGGAAATATCTTTTAGCTGTATAATTTGGTTATTGGAAAATGTGCTGCTATAATTGTCGAGCACCTCAAGTCTTTTCTGTTTTTCTGCAATTGCAGTTTCGAAAGGTTTTCTGTTTTCTTGTATATACTTTGCTGCTTCTTCCGTTATACTGCGCAGTTGCTGTTGACGTTCTCTTTCGGTCACTTTAGGGTTCCTGGTTGTCTTAATCTCTGGTAGTTTAACTTGCAATATTTCTGTTTTGGAGAGTTCCAAATCAACTTTACAGTTTTTGTTTCCTTTGATTTGGGCAAGGTATAGTGTACAGTGCTCGTGTGGAACAAGACCCGCATTCTCTAACAACAGCGTATTGACTTCCTTACTCCCATCGTTACAACAATAGACGCCTCCTTTGGACACGAGGCGAGTGGTATGATCTGTGCGACCATCGCTGCTACTCTTAAAATAACGAAAGCCGGAAATATCGAGAAGTACGTCTTTTTTCTTCTCTGTTTTAGTTCCGCTTGTGGTCTTGACACAGTCAGAGACTTCGATTAAGTCAATTGGTTGCCTAAACACCAGGATTCTTTCTCTGACCATTTATCCACAAATTGTCCATTTATGTTTTGTGTGATCTCGTTGTAAGTATATACCATTAATCCAATATCGCGAGCACGATCAACCACAACTGAACTATGCAACATCGAGTAACAGTAAGCCTTCCATGTATCTGCATATGGAGTGGAATAGACCAGGTTTGGTGGTACATATTGTGCAATGCGAGTGAGTGTCCTCCATAAAACCGTCACTTGGGAGATTATCCTTGCAGTAAAAAGTAACTTCTGCACGAGTCAGTCCTCGGTCTATAGCCAGATCGCGTGCTTTCGCAAGACGAGTCTCACCTTGGCACACCCAGTCCTTCCAGTGCTGACTAACTGTTTCTCTAACACTTTTGCTCTCCAGCATCTGCACCATCTTATTGTAAATCGTACAACGGGTTGTCATCCCGTTTACAGTTTCCATGTAGGTTAAACAGTTATTGCCTACGTGGTCACTATTATCGAGGATTGTTCTATCACCATCTGCTGTGCAGCCCTGCATGCGAAAACCATTGTTTTCAGTTAGGTGGCCAATTATTTCGTCTTTGCCAAAACTTCCACTATAGTCCATTGTAATGTCAATGTTCTTAAATAAAAATGTTTCTCAACTTGTACTCGTCAGAGCGTAAAAACTCTAAAACGTCTTGATATTCTTCGTCTGCACAAGCAATTTTAAATTCTTGTGCGTAGTACAAAGTTCCCGCTGTCTCTTTCGATTTTATCCTCCCGTAAACCATCTCCAGCTTGTTGGTGCTTGGGCGTTTTTTTAAAGGCGACAAAGCGACTGCTTTCACCTTACGTTTTCGTAGGCCATGGAGGGTTAGCATATCTCGGATGTGCTTGTTAACCACACCAACTTCCGTGTAGGTTTTCTTAATGGTGACGAAGTAATCCGGGACGAGCACATAGAGCAGAAAGTTATCAACAAACTTCTCACTGCAGGTATGAAATCCAACTTTGTCTTGCCTTCCATACTTGTTAAAATTGAGAGAACCAGTTGTGTTAAGAAAATTTTCTTTATCGATCTTCTCCAAAAACACAGTACTCTTGTTGGAACGGCCAAGGAGAGAACGTTTGGAAGACAGACCCAAAGCTTGCATATTGTCAGGATAGAGCGGATATTTTTCAGGAGATGTTCACTGCACGAAATCGTAACGTAGAATGAGAAAAAAACACAGACGAAGCTTTATTTAATACGCACTTTCTGCAAGCTAATCAGTTTTTACAATGACGTAAAAAGATCAAACAATGAAAGAATCAAACAAGTTTGGACATGCTTGTATAGAAAAAAGGATCTATAACCAAACGGGCCATCGGGCCTTATGGGGCCACAAAATGCCACTTCGGGCCAAATCGGGCCTAATAAATACATACAACACAATATAAAGCTTCCATTTTCCGTCAGTCACTGGTCAAGTAAATATGGGTCGAACGCAACTGTCCTGTCTTTGGATGTGGAAGCACCAATCTTGCTCGACTAGCAAATCATCTCGATCAAGTCCACCGTATGGACACCGACGAACGTGCCAAATGGTTAAAATGGAGTAAAATCGGAATATGTGCGCCTTTAGAGGATGAAGAAACTAGAGCAGATAACAAAGAAACATGTATAGAGAAGACTTTAGAAAGACTTATTAAGCGACAAAAGGATATGGAAACAAACTTTAATAATTTCCTCAGAGTACCACTTGGAAAATCTGTAGTACAAAAGCGAAAAACACCACTGCCTACGAAAAAAGAGCAACGCTTAACAGACAAGAAAGATATAATTGCAAAGAAGTGGTTGACCTTGTAATTCGTAAATAATTTGTATATGCTACCGATTCTGGTATCCAATCCGTAGAACATAAAGGACAGAAACGAAAACTGTTGTTAGTAGAAGACGGTGCTGTGTATAAAGTTAAGCGATCTAGGTTGGAAGACACTGTAAAAGCAGGACAATTTATTTAAAAAACATACGCTCGTGTAACTCATTTAATTAGTTGTCAATATACACACTGTAGTACTTTTCTACGTATAAAATAAATAAACTATACAAGGAACTATTATAATGTAGTCGTATCTCTTTGTTTAACTATACCCGTCAACTGACAAGATTTTGACTTAAATTTCTCGCTCCACTGCATTTTGCCTCGGTCTCATGTTTTGTCCCAAAAATGTATACATTTTCGTATTCGTGTCACCCCATTTTTCTCCCTTTTGAAGACAAAGCCAAAGTTAAGGTGTAAGAGTGAGCTAAAAATAGATATAGCCTATCCAAAACGGGATAGAGAGAGCACCGGAGTTTTCGAAACGGCTTCTGATTGGTTCTCGGGACCTATGAGGTGATTCTAAAAATAGATATGACCTATCCAGAGGGGGGGGGGGGGGGGAATGCTCAGAAGCGGCTATGATTGCTTCTCAAAACCTATGACGTCATAATAGGGGTTGTTCTAAAAATAGATATGACCTATCCGAAGAGGTGTGACGCCACTATAAAGAGGGTGACGTCATTTTATGAGGCTGACGTCATTCTTAGGGTTGATCCGCGATCCGCCCTGATCCGCCCGTTGGTGAACCCCTATTCTGTATACTACTAATAATCGATTTTATATTTAATGCCAAATTTCCTATTTCGCTTGTTATGAGCTAAAACTCGCCTTCCTACTAATATCGGGGTGCTTTTTAACTCGTGGATACGCGAAGCGTAGAAACGAGTTATTGTGAGGGGTCTGAATATGCAAATGTGTCACTCACTCACTCACTCACTCACTAAGATGTTAGCAGATCGATAATTAAACGTTTGTCGATCGTCTTACGTCATCCGATCACGAATGTTACACGACACTAACAAGCACAAAGCTCTTATACCTTATAGATTACTTTGATATTTATATGAGGAAACGAAATGTTCGTGTTCCATGTGGGATACATTTCTATCACTTGTAGACGCCGTGGGGGCCCACTGTGCATGCGCACACTCGCACATAGTTTTATCTTCGAATTATTCATATTAAAAGAATCAAGGAAAGATGCAAGTTGAAGTAAAATTATACAATTAACGCCTGAAATAAAATTTCAATGAGTTAGACCTTTTTTTCTGATGTATTTGAAAAAAGTAAACAAAAACGCTTATTAGGTACAACGTCAACATTTCGATTTCAGACTGAGACTCGTAGATCGAGCCGGTTATCGAAAAAATTAATTAGAACTCAAGAAGAGAGTCTGATTTCAAACTCTGGAGGACTTTATTCTCCATAGAGACAGCTCAAAGTCACGGCGGTATTCAGCAATAAAATCTCATAAACTCGATCGAGCGAAGCTTGATCAACAGTTGTATTTCAATACTAAGTGACTTCTTAAGAAAATAATCAATCAGTGTAGATGTACGTAAATCGTAGAAAAAATAGCAAAAGACGAAAAAAAGACCAATTCCAATGAAGTTTTGAAGGAAGTTCAGCCAGTTTTGTCATTTAAATAAGCCGTTCTGAATAAAAAGTAGATTGATCGCTACGCATTACAAACAGCCGAAGCAATGCTCAGATTGTATGTTGAAATGTGCGAAGGCCTACGAGAATTCGCCCCAATAAATAATCATTAATTTACCGACTTGGATGAAGACAAAATAAATAGCATTTTCTAAGCGTATTTCTGTAAAATATTTGCTTGGTTCACAGTGTAAATAAGTAGTTTCATTCGAAACAAATGTAGGAGCCGTGACCCCTGAAGGTCAGGATAAGTAGTAATGTAAATCAACACGCATAACGCAACGCTTTATGTGATCGTCCCGATTGTATCATAAACGGCCGATTATCTTGTATTCAGTTTTGAGCTCGTAGGTCGAATGTTTGCTGGAATAAAACACACAGCCCGCCTTTGAAATTAAAAACAGAGAAAGCGTTTTCAAATAGATCTTCTTCCAATTAATATACTCTATACTTGACTTAGTTGACTCAATCGAAGTCGCGAAGTCGTCTTTCGTATTTAAATTGAAGTTCAGACAATTAATTCATCACAGAATTCGCTTCCAAACTAAACAAAATAGCGAAGAACT